AGACCCTATATAAGCTGCCCTGGAACACAATAAACGGGACATTCTTGGCGTTACCCGTGTCACTGTCTGTGTGTGTTTCAATCTCCAGGCCCTTGCCCAATACACGAACCATACCGTAACGTGTAGCGCATAGAGCAGAACCGCGTTGCGCTACGCCTGTGCTCACAGAACACACAAAGGCTTTTCTAAACGGAAGGGAGTTGTACCTCTTTCTGCCTTGGATTGGATGTAGCTAATAACCTGGTGACCTATGCTGTCTGTAGGGTTAGTCCTCACCCGAATACCCCATTATTCTTATTCTTTTTCCAGATGCTACCCAGACTCCTGAGCATCGTCTCTCCGTCAACGGGAACCATCTTTGTGAATGAGGCCATTGATCCTTTGCAAAAGACAAGTGTGTTGAGGAGTTTTAATGTAATCTTTGCTGTGAGACGTGTCACAAGGAAACTTGTTGCCAAAGTTGTTCTGTGTTTTGCTACATCAAAAATAAACCACTCGGTGTCAGGGTCTAGAAGTTTGAACCGATACTGGCTAAGTTGTGTTGAACTGGATTTCCTTTCTGCCTCATGTGGATCTTACTCTGCTGTGTGGCAATTGCAGAGGACCCCCCCCCCCCACACACACACAGTAAGAGACAGCCTAGGACGGGGGAGGGGTGGGGGGGGGACCCAACACTGTGAATACCACTGCTGCTGCGGCTCTATTACTTTCGAGCTGCCTGCTGGGTGACACAGCGCATGCTCAGGGGCGTCTCACAATTGTTTAAAGCCACCAGCACTAGCTTGGTGCCCACTCACAGGACTGCAGATGTAGATGCCCCGTGGACTTGCCTGTTCTGGCTCTGCAGGGACCACTCAGTATGGAGCCTGGCACCCAGCTGGGAGGCAGGAGTGAAAGGGTTTCTTTGGCAGAGCTGGGGATGGAATTCAGAGTCTGGCCCATGCAAGCACTCTGACCCTGAGCCATGCCCCAACCAGTCCTCTGCCCTCCCACCTCGCTGCGCACGTGGGAGAAACAGAAGAGCGTGAAATGTCAAAGCGGGCCGCTTCTCAGCAACGCCTGTTTTGCGGGAAACTGCCTTCCAAGGTTTCACAGCACCCTTTGAGGTTAAGAAATATTCAGTTTCATAATCCTATTCCCGCCTCCATGAGCCACCCCACTCCGACCATTGGCCCAGTTGGTGAATAAAAATGTCTGCCCTGGCTTCTGTCCCCCGTTCAGCCCAGGCGCTGGTCCCAGCTCCTGCCACGCTGACCGGAGGGCTCTTGGTGAGGTGAGGTGAGTACTCAGACCCTGCTCCATACATCTGAGATTCCACTGGGAACCTCATGGGCTCAGATGGGCCGCTTGTGAGGGGCACATGGCTTGGCATGCTTATTTACTCGGAGTTCCTTCCTTTGAGTTGAGTTTGGTTTGTTTTTAATCCTCTGTGTAATTCTGAAAAGTTCAGGTGTGATGGATCCTTAGCAAGGGATTGGCTAGCTAGCTGTTCCCCAGACAAAGAGACACTTCTAAGAGCAAGCTAGATTCTATGGAAATCATGGCCCTCAAGGCTGCACCTGCACTGCTGAGAGGGTCTGTCTTCTGCAGGGAGGACAGAGAGCCCCTCTTCCCTGCTGCCCGCCCTAGCCACTTGGGCCCTGGAGGACAGCAGGGCCATCCTTCCTGTCATAACCACAGCAGAATCTGCCACGGTACGTCCTGGGCCACCAGTTGACCCATGACAGACGAAGGTCATTATGGGTCAAAGGTGGAGAAATCAGGCTGGACATTGAAGAATACCCAGAAGGCTGGAGTGGTCCCAGAGGCAGAGGATTTGAGAATGTGAGAGGCCAGGGTTCAATGCCCAGCAGTGTGTGCAATGGCGGGGAGCCGGGCCCAGAGGACTGTCAAGCAGGTCCTCTTAAACATTCTCTTCAGCCACACTCACCTCTGCTTTCTCCTCCTCCTGAGCTGTGACATCGGGTGACTTAGCTTCTGCTTTGCCTTTCTCACTTGCCATGTGGCTTTAGCTGTTCCCTCTGCTCTGGTTAGACACTCAGTCACCCCCGGCTCCTTCAGATCAGTGGGACGGCTCATGGCCTCTTGAGCTCAACCAGGGGCCGGCCTCCATCACACCCCACAACACAGAAACACCCATCAGCCTTTGCGCCAGCACAGAGGTCAGCTGAATAGGCGTTCACGCCTCAGGCTTGACATTGCCCTTGGACACACCGTGTGCCCACTGGGGAAATTTAAGGGCTTCCATTACCTGGCCTAAGCTGTCACCCATTTGTTCCAAGAGTAACAATGCCAGACTTCCTGTGACTCCATTTCCTTTCCACAGCCTGAAAAACAGTCATCTGCACATGGGTCAGTGTCCCCGCTGCCACCGAGCTCCCAATATCCCTGCAGACTAGGCCACCTCCAACAGTGGCAAGGTGGCTGACACAGAGTCCCTGGGATCTTGGGATTTCCTGGGTTCTCCTGAGGGTCCTTTTGAATTTTATGGTGGCTCCCATATGGACGTGCGAGTGACAAAGTCCTCGTCCTTAGGGTGGCTGAGTCAATCTCTAGCCCCTCTTCCTCTTGTAAGCCTTGGCACCTCCCCCCAATGTTTACAGGGTTTTCTGCAGTCACCTCATTACAGAAGCTCCACGGTAGTCAGGACTGCCATGAGCAAGCCAGGGTAGTCTTTTTATCTCCACGGCCCAATCACGTGGGAATGCCTAGGGTCTTAGCTATCCTGAGAAGAGGAAAGAAGACGATGTATTTCTGCAATAACAGGGAAAAATCCTGGAGCTGGTAAGATGGCTCAGCAGGCGAAGAAGGTGTCTGCCACCAAGTCTGAGGACCTGACTTTGATGCCCAGGGACCAGAAGGTGGAGGGGAGGACCGATTCCTACGAGCAGTGCCCCACCCATCGCAAGGGCACAGTGGCACAAACGTGCTTCCTGGCCCCGCACTCACAACATTCAGTGATCGATGTAAAATGCTGAGGATAAAATCCAAGCGCATTTCACTTTCAAGAAATTGATTGGCCCCATTTTTACTTCTAAAATTGAGTAACACTTCACAAAATGGAGCGAGTGTTCCAGAGAGCTTAGTGGGCAGGCTGGGTTCACAGACCTGGAAGAGTCGGGGAAGGAGGCATCGCATAGAGAAGTGGTCACTTCAAAGTTACTGCTCTGCTTCAGCAGGGACCGCAAGTTCATTATTCATATATATTTATGTATAATATATATCAATTGATTAATTAATTTTGGTGAGGACTAGGCAGAGGGAACTTTCGCTGAAACTGGCGTTTAGGCAATGGGGCTCTCTCCTGAGATCTCTGAGGGTGACAGACACCCTAGGTCCCTTTGGTCTGGAGCATCAGCGTGGGCCACCCCAGATTAGGCTTTTAGTTTGGTGTGTCAGAGCCCAGCACATGAGTTCAGTCAGATGATGACTTCTCTACTGAACATGTGTTAGAAAATCAAACATAACGTTAACATCTTCTATAAATATAATTTGTACAAAATCCTTAACAGTGCCATGTTGTTCTGTGAAAATGAGCTTTGAATCATTATTACCTGTTTGTTCTCAGTAGCCAATAAGAAACAACCCCAATACATCAATCAATAAAACAGAGAAACCCCTTTGCAATGCATTTGCATCATTAAATGCTACACAGCAGTGGTGGTTTTTAAAACTCTGGATACCGTTGACAACATGGGTGGATTCCACAGAGGTCCTGGTGTTTGACAGAAGTGGCCTGGGGTGGTAGTTTAGTCCATAAGGACTGTTCACTCAAACATGAAATCCCAAGCACCCAGAGCCCAGGTTAAAAAACAAAACAAAACAAAACAACAACAACAACAAAAAAAAACAGGCATGGTTGTGAGAGCTACACAGAAAGGAGGTGGAGACAGGATGATCCTGGGGCTCACTGGGCAGCCAGACCAATGCAATTGGGAGAGCTATAGGTCCGTGATAGACCCTGTCTCAAAAACAGTAATAGCAAACTGGAGAGATGGCTCAGCGGTTAAGAGCATTGGCTGCTCCTTCAGAGTCTCGAGTTCAATTTCCAGCAACCACATGGCAATTCAGGCTTGTCTGTAACTTCTGTTCCAGGGTGTCTGATACCAATCAGATATAAATGCAGACAAAACACCAATGCACATGAAGTAAAAATAAACAAATAAAACCAAAACAGAAGAAAACCCAATCATAGTGCCCAAAGAACAACACACCTGAGGTTGGCCTCTGACATCCACATGCAAATGCATACGCATGTGCAGACACGTGTGCACCCACAGAACACACATGCATGCACACACATACACGAAAACAATAAGTCTACTTAACAACGGTCTAGAAGTCAGAGTGTGGTGCTGAGAGGAAGGGGCGAGTCTTGACTCGGATAGTGACAATGTGGGGGGACAGTAACTCTGCAGTGCCTCTGTTTTGCTTTCAAGGTTTCAGTTACTGCAATCTAAGAAAATTAAATGGAAAATGCTAGAAATAATCCATACATTCTAAACTGCACAATGCTCGGAGTAGTCCCGCCTGTGACAGCAATGATTTCTCTACCCGGTGTTTCTGCACTGTAGATGCCACCTGCTCATTAACCACTAGCACAACATGGTCTGTGTAGGGCTTGGCATCCTCTTTGGTCTCAGCAGCCCATCAAGATCTTAGGAGGAAAAGACTATCTGGTTCTCAACTACCTTGTGCTAAGAATTACCCTGTGCCAAAGTAGCCTTCCAATATAAATATTACAATTTTTTTCCAATATAAATATTAACACTCATTGGACTGAGCACTTTACTGGGTATGCTGCTGTATATAGGTTATACTTTAATTGTAAATTGAAAAACAATAGTTTGCAGATATTGTAGTTAGTATAAGCCATGGTTTAGTATGATTTCTGCATAATCTAAAATCCTTCCACACTTGAGTTTTATAATGTTTTATGATATTAGCAGTAAATTTGCTTTTTATTTTTCCAATTAGAAGACAACTTGACTCATAAGGACATGGCTCAGATGGGGAAGGAATTTAAGGCTGGCGTTGACTTGCAAAGGTAACTCAGGGTGGGTTTCTTGGGAAGGGCTGGTTCTATAGAAGGCAGCATGTGTTCTTTTTTTTTTTTTAAGATTTATTTATTTATTTATTTATTTATTAAGTATACAACATTCTGCTTCCATGTATGCCCGCATGCCAGAGGAGGGTGCCAGATCTCATTACAGATGGTTGTCAGCCACCATGTGGTTGCTAGGAATTGAACTCAGGACCTTTGGAAGAGCAGGCAATGCTCTTAACCTCTGAGCCATCTCTCCAGCCCCCAAGGCAACTCTTACAAAGGAAAGCATCTAATTGGGTGCTGACTCACAGTTTTAAAGGTTAGTCCATATCATCATGGCAGGGAACGTAGTTGGCACCCATGGGACTGGGGCAGTAGCTGAGAGCTTTAATCCTGATCCACAGGCAGGCAGGCAGAGAGAGATAGAGAGACCCTAGGCCTGGAGTGGACTTTTGAAACCCCAAAGCCCACCCCCAGTGACACACTTTCTCCAACAAGGCCACACCTCCTAACCCTGATCCTTTCAAACAGTTCCAGTCCTTGGTGAGTAAGCATTCTATGAGCCTATGGGGCCACTGTTATATAAAGCCTCACGCCACTCCAGGATGGCTGTGGGGGAAGGGTGGTTTATATTCTCAAAAGTCCCCACAATATCAGGGAAGTGTTTTCCCTGGGGAGAAAGTACTACAAGGGATGACTGAAATACTTTGGAGAGTTGATAAAGATTTAGTCAGAGACCGTGTTGGGCTCCAAGGACAGAAATCTCCCCACTCTAAGGTTTCTCTGCTGTAAGCCCCAGAGAGAAGGAAGTCCTCCTGGCCCATACGCCACACAGTAATATATGTGAAATAATACAACGAAAAGATCCCCTTTTCAATACATCAATGCATTCAAGGTCAGCCGTGCATTAGTCCAGATCCGGACCCAACGTCATGCAGAGGCTTATGGGAGGTGAGCAAGTGATGGCGAAATTTCCCAGGACTGGATGGGAGCTCACGCTATGCTGGGGGCATGGCTGCCCAACACAGGGGGTCCTGGACATAGCAGGCTACAGCATCCATTGCCTAAAGCCATGTAGAAACGAGACGTCATAGCCATGTAACACGTACCCTCTAACTGTAGATCTGTGTCCGTGAGTCAACCCACCGCAGATGGCGTGCCGTGCAGTCAGGCCTGTGATGGTTACATCTTCACTAACAAGGACAGACTTGCTTTCTCAAGTCAGTCCATACGATACTGCATCAATGTCCTACAAGATATATCATCTGGACTCGAGATGCTAGAGATTATTCAAAAAACAGGAGCTCCTGGATGGTGTTAGCACACACCTTTAATCCCAGCACTCGGGAGGCAGAGGCAGGCAGATCTCTGAGTTCAGGGCCAGCCTGATCTACAGAGTGAGTTCCAAGACAGCCAGGACTGCACAGAGAAACCCTGTCTTGAAAAACAAACAAAACAAGAGAAACGAGAAGCCCAGCAACTGTAGCCATAGTCAAGTCAGTCAGAGTGGAGATATGTTATACAATATGGTCTCCTTCTCCTCTTCCTCCTCCTCACCTCCCTGTGCTCCACACCGGACCTCCTCTTTCTCCTCCTTTCCCCAGGCTCCCTCCCTCCCTCTCTGCTTCCTGGGTCCTTTCTTGGTCAGGATAGTGGCATTCACCCCTCTAGGGTGGTACTCTAGCTCTTCAGAGCGGGGCTGGGACTGTCCCTAAGAACCATTCTGTCTTCTTCATGTCTTTGAACAGGGCCAAGGTCACCTCCAGGGTTGTCCCTCTTCTGGGATGCTTTTCCTCATTATACCAGTCACTTCCTGCAAAGGTTGAGCTCAGGGCTTTGTAGGAGATGTGGGAAGGGTTCAAAGTTAGTCATAAAAGCTGCCTGGAGGCCACATGGGCTTTTTCCTCTGGGAGGTTGAAGCTGTCTTTTTGTGTCCTCACCCACAGGGACAAGGATGGTGGTCCTCGGGGTGGAGATTCGACTGATGAGGAAGAAGTGGAGGTTGAAGATGATGCTCTAACAGATGAAGAACGAAGGTTTCTAGAACAATTCCACAGCTGGAGAAAGAACGAAAACAAGCGCATTAGAACACTCTATGCCATCGCTGACAACATTGACAAAAGAGACCGAAAAGCCACCAAAACCAAAGTGATGACTAACTCTGCGTCAGTCATCTCTGGAGCCATGTGTCTGCTGGGTTTGGCCCTTGCTCCAGTAACTGCAGGCGGAAGCCTGGTGCTCACTGCTGCTGGGACGGGTTTGGGGGCCGCTGCTGGGATCACCAACATCATGACTGATGTGAAGGAAGACTCTCACAACAAAAGCGCCCTAGCTCAGGCCAACAGAATCATACCTAGTAGTGACCAAGAGCTTGAGGAGGTCACGGGAAAGAAGACAGCCTATGCCACAGCCACCAGTGAGATTGTCTACAAATGTACGAGCGCCTGGGAAACCATCCGAAAGCACATCCGAGCCCTCCAGCTAACCAAAACACACCCCCATGTCGCCTCGGCTGCCAGCAAGCTCATGACTGCTGGCCGGGTCTCAACCCAAAGCAGCAGGCAGATACAAAAGGCCTTTGGGGGCACAGCTCTGGCAATGACCAAAGATGCCCTCAGGTGGAACAGTCTACCTGCCATCTTCTTTCTCGGCCAGGACATATATGCTCTCTTGAAGGACTGGGAGAAACTACAGGCTGGAAAGCCAACAGAGCTTGCAAAAGAGTTAAGATCGCGGGCTCAGAAGCAGGAGCGGGAGGTATCAGAACGCACCTGTCGCTATGAAAGGCTGAAGAAGGTGAGGGCTGGGTTTTGGAAGGGGCCAGGTGGCAGAAACTGGCATCTGTGGAGCCAGTTTAGAACAGCCATGGTTAAGGAAACCTTTGTGTACACGCATGTGTGTGTGTGTGTGTGTGTGTGTGTGTGTGTGTGTGTGTGTGACTGTGTGTGTGCATGTGTTGTGTTGTCAAGTTTTCAGGGATGTCTCTCACCACATGGCATATGGTAGCCCCAGAGGTCTTTTCTAGTTAGGTTTCTATTGCTGTGCTAAAGACCATGATCAAAAGCACTTTGAGATTGAGAAGGAAAGGGTTTGTTTGGTTTACACATCCGAGCCACATTCATGGGGGAAGCCAGCCCAGGAGCTTAAGCAGGACCCTGGAGGCAGGAACACTACTCACTGGCTTGCTCCCGCCCCATGGGTAGCTCAGCCTGCTTTCTTATGCCACCCAGGACCACCTTGCATAGTAAGCCAGATCCTCCCATTGCAGGCACTAAACCAAGAAAATGCCCTACAGACATGCCCACAAGCCATCTGATGGAGGCGTGTCTTCAATTGAGGTTTCTTTTTCCAGATGATTCTCTGTTAAGTTGCTCCCCAAACAAACAAACAAACAAACAAAACAACAACAACAACAAAAGCTAATCAGGACTAGATCCCAATAGTATCCAGGGCTCAGGTGCCCCTTAAAGAGCAGGAGGCCAGTCTTCAGCTGGCTTGGTTAGCCTTCTCTTTCTTCTTACAGCTTCCTGGTTGAATAGAATAGGTCTCCGAGTCACAGGGAGTGTTTGGACTAACTACCTTCTCAAACCCCATGTGGAATCTTTACTCCCTCTATATTTGGAGTGTGGGTGTGGTTAAGGTTGAATAAGGTTGAAGGGGTAGATAGAGCCTTCCAGGCCTGATGTCCACAAAAGAGAAGGCAGAAACTGGGGAGCCCATGCCATGCACCTGCACAGGGGAAAACTATGCAAAGGCTTCCTCTTAGGAGTAATCAGACATCTGCAAGCTGAGAAAAAGTCAGCATGCAATAGGAGTTGAACTGGCTAGGGACAGAGTAAACAGTCTGCCTCTCCCTGGGGTGCTGGGCAAGTGGTGAGCATTGAGAAGCACCTGTGGTGGCAGTAGTGGTGGATGGTTGTGGTGATGGAGAGTAGGGATGATTGGTGATGGTGGTGGAGGTGGTGATGGTGGTGGTGATGGTGGTGGAGGTGGTGATGGTGGTGGTGATGGTGATGGTGGTGGAGGTGGTGGTGGTGATGGTGATGGTGATGGTGATGGTGATGATGGTGGTGGTGATGGTGATGGTGGTGGTGATGGTGGTGGTGGTGGTGATGGTGATGGTGATGATGGTGGTGGTGATGGTGGTGGTGGTGATGGTGATGGTGATGGTGGTGGTGATTGTGATGGTGATGATGGTGGTGGTGATGGTGATGGTGATGGAGGTGGTGTTGATGGTGGTGGTGATGGTGATGGTGATGGAGGTGGTGATGGAGGTGGTGATGATGGTGGTGGTGATGGTGTTGATGGTGGTGGTGATGGTGATGGTGGTGGTGGTGATGGTGATGATGGTGGTGATGGTAATGGTGGTGGTGATGATGATGGTGGTGGTGGTGGTGGTGGTGATGGAGGTGGTGATGGTGATGATGGTGGTGGTGGTGATGGTGATGGTGGTGGAGGTGGTGATGGTGGTGGTGATGTGGTGGAGGTGGTGATGGTGGTGGAGGTGGTGATGATGGTGGTGGTGATGGAGGTGGTGATGGTGATGGTGGTGGTGATGGTGATGGTGATGGAGGTGGTGATGATGGTGGTGGTGGTGATGGTGATGGTGGTGGAGGTGGTGATGGTGGTGGAGGTGGTGATGGTGGTGGTGATGGTGGTGGTGATGGTGATGGTGATGGAGGTGGTGATGATGGTGGTGGTGATGGTGATGGTGATGGTGATGGAGGTGGTGTTGATGGTGGTGGTGATGGTGATGGTGGTGGTGGTGATGGTGATGATGGTGGTGATGGTAATGGTGGTGGTGATGATGATGGTGGTGGTGGTGGTGATGGAGGTGGTGATGGTGATGATGGTGGTGGTGATGGTGATGGAGGTGGTGATGATGGTGGTGGAGGTGGTGATAGTGATGGAGGTGGTGATGGAGGTGGTGATGGTGATGGAGGTGGTGATGATGGTGGTGGAGGTGGTGGTGGTGATGGAGGTGGTGATGGTTATGTAGTCCAGGCTGGCCTCAAGCCTATGATCCTACTGTCTTAGGCTCTCAAGTGCCAAGATTATGTGTTTGTGCCACAATCCCTGGCGTAAGCATTGTTAACTCACTGATAAAAATCACTATTAATATTAACGAGAAGTCTTTACTATAAGAACTCTTTCCAATGTTCATCTTACCTGTAGATAAGCTAAGATTTTGAGGGACAGGACAATTTGACTCCCTAGCTGGTAATTAACTGTTTAACTCCCTGGTTCTCTGGTTGCCTTGAGGGAAGAATTATCACCCAAGAGCCACTGAATGGTGCCCATGCCATCACTGGTTGCTTTGGTTGCCCCATAAATGCATGGCACTGACAGCTGCTTGCTGCTGAAGTCTAACTGCAGCTCCTGGGATCACAGCCCTGGAACCTGGATGGTTCCAGCTTTGGCCTTCACAACTCTCAGTGAAATGTAAATGATCCGGCCACCATTTCCACTGAGGAGCTTCTGCCGGTGCCCTGCACAGGGAATGCCTTAACTGGTGTTAACAAAGACTGTAATTTGCATGTGGATGTGCTATGGTTTGGGTCAAACACCCATGTTGGCAGTATACAAGCTGTTTGGCTCACTCCTATGCTGTCTGCTTCCAGGGTCACATTAGACCCAGTAAGGCTTCTCTCCCGTGGCCTTTCATTCGTCACGTGTAATACAGGCTGAGCTGGTGACACAGGGCGAAGGCAGCTGAGCATGAGAGGCAAGCAGACCACCAGTGGTCCCTTTCCCAGGGCAGCTCTCTACCCCATCCTCAGGAGGCCCCGCTTCTTAATTCTGTCACATGGGGATTAGGTTTCTCAAAACTAGGTAGTGATAAACTGGATTTGGTGACACACACCTTTAATTCCAGCACTCAAGAGGTTGAGGCAATGGATCTTCATGAGGTCAGGACCAGCCTGGACTACATACTGAGTTCCAAGTCAGTCAGGGTTACTTAGTGAGACCCTCTCTCAACAAACACATGCACGCACGCACGCACACACACGCATGCATGCACGCACGCACGCACACACACGCATGCATGCACGCACGCACGCACGGTAGTAGAAGACCCGGATGGCAAATGCTGGCACTGACAACTGCCTGGCTGGAAAGCAGCTGCCTAGTGAAGCCAAACCTGGCCTGGGACTCTTCTACTTAGTGACTTTCCTCCTCCCTCTTCCCCTCCCCCTCCCCTTCCTCCTCCTCCACCACCTCCTCCTCCTCCTCCACCACCTCCTCCTCCTCCTCCACCACCTCCTCCTCCTCCTCCCACTTCCACTCCTTCTCCCACTCCTCCTCCCACTCCTCCACCACCTCCTCCTCCCACTCCTCCTCCCACTCCTCCACTACCTCCTCCTCCTCCTTCTCCTCCTCCCACTCCTCCTCCTCCCACTCCTCCTCCTCCTCCCACTCCTCCTCCTCCCACTCCTCCACTACCTCCTCCTCCTCCCACTCCTCCTCCTCCTCCTCCTCCCACTCCTCCTCCTCCTCCCACTCCTCCTCCTCCCACTCCTCCTCCTCCCACTCCTCCTCCTCCCACTCCTCCTCCTCCTCCCACTCCTCCTCCTCCTCCCACTCCTCCTCCTCCTCTCATTCCTCCTCCTCCTCCTCCCACTCCTCCTCCTCCCACTCCTCCACCACCTCCTCCTCCTCCTTCTCCTCCTCCCACTCCTCCTCCTCCCACTCCTCCACCACCTCCTCCTCCTCCTTCTCCTCCTCCCACTCCTCCTCCTCCTCCCACTCCTCCACCACCTCCTCCTCCTTCTCCTCCTCCCACTCCTCCTCCTCCTCCCACTCCTTCTCCTCCCACTCCTCCTCCTCCCACTCCTCCTCCCACTCCTCCTCCTCCTCTCATTCCTCCTCCTCCTCCTCCCACTCCTCCACCACCTCTTCCTCCTCCTTCTCCTCCTCCCACTCCTCCTCCCACTCCTCCTCCCACTCCTCCTCCTCCTCTCACTCCTCCTCCTCCTCCTCCTCCTCCTCGACAGGCCCTCACTTACACCATCTGGGAAGGCCTTTAACTCATCATAACCAGGCTGGCCTCGAACTCACAGCTGTCATCCTGCCCCAGTCTCATGAATGCTGGAATTATGTTTACACCATGGAGCCTGGCTCTTCTTTTCTAACAAGACTTAGACATGGATAATTATACAATGCTCACCTTCTTTTTCTTTCCTCTCAGAGACTCAGAGACTCAAAGAAGAGGCCTGTGAGGTCTTTGAAAAGAACCATGGAGATTCAGCCTCGGCCTCTATCCTCCACTGAGAAAGCAAAGCCCAGGGGACAGCAGCGAAGACAAGCTGAGACCTTGGGGTTTTGAGATCAATAAAGGAGGAGCAGGGTGGGAGTAGCAAGGCTGTCATAGGTGATGCCTGAGACTCACACACAAGGAGGTGCCAGGAAGGTCCCTGGGTTCTCAGAAGGGAGGGCTCTGTTAACCCCACTCCTGAACCTGTCTCCCTTCTTCACTCTGACTCAACACCACATCCCCTCTCCCGGCCCCCGTCACTCACACAGAACACCAGATTGGTTTTTAGACAGATAACAGGCTTCCTGCTGGCCAGCTTCCCCAGTAATTAGCAATGATAAGGTAGGTGCGAGGATTCCCCGCCCACCTGGCCTCTTTGCTTTCTCTTCCTCTTGCCCAGGCCCAGTGGGAACTGCTGGCTCCGAGTCAGGTTTCCACACAAAGGCTGTCACTGGAACCTGCTAGGCCAGATTCCAGGGGAAGGACAGAGGGCGGCCTGTCTCCACTCTTCGGACCCCCGCGTCCTGAGCCCTCAGCTGGC